TTTCTTTCTTTCTTTCTTTCTTTCTTTCTTTCTTTCTTTCTTTCTTTCTTTCTTTCTTTCTTTCTTTCTTCATTTTATTTTATTTATATTGCCGCCTATTCACCCACAGCTACTCGAGGTGGCTTACACAATGTGAAACCATATTTAAAACAAAAAATAAAAACAAAAAGAACCAAATAAATTAGTAAAGTACACTAGAACAAAATTGTACAAAAACAAAGTTGGACTAGAATGACCTCCAAGAGTCCCTTCCAACTGTTATTCTATTCCAGCTTTAGACTCCCCCCCCAACTGGTTTTCCCGCCAAAACAGGAGGTCAAAAGTGAAAATCTAGCGGGAAAAGATTCTTGCAGGAGCTCAACTTGGGCGCATATCGGCTGCGTGCATGCTGTTCCACTCTGCACCCCTCTGGCTCCTGGGGGTGGCTGTGGGCGTTATCCTGCTGCGGGGAAACTGCTGCAGTGAGTAACGCAGGGATCGGGGAGGGGACGAAACGCGGGCTGCAGCTGCCTCTCCGACCTTTCCCGCTTCTTTACCTGCCAGAGATGCGTTTCTGGCGCTCCGCCAATGCCCAGAAGGACTGCGCGGACCTGGTGGGGGTGAGGGGCTTCTGGGTGGGAGAAAATGTACCTCGGAGCACCGACCGACATTTGTCTTCTTGCTCTGCCGTTCAGCCTTCTCAATTAAGCGCCCTCCCCCCCACCTTTTTCAGCCGTCTATTCAGTACTCCTTCAGTCCCGGAGCTTCGATCACCCAAGACGGTCCAGTCCCGGAGCTCCCTCCGCCTTAACGTTAATTGTTGCACGTGTGGAATCTTGGCTTTCTTTGCTGCACGCGTGGAATCAGGGCTTTTATTGCTGCACGCGTGGAATCTTGGCTTTTATTGCTGCACGCGTGGAATCTTGGCTTTTATTGCTGCACGTGTGGAATCTTGGCTTTCTTTGCTGCACGTGTGGAATATTGGCTTTTATTTTTGCACGTGTAGAAACTTGGCTTTCATTACTGCACTTGTAGAGTCTTGGCTTTCCTGCCGTTGGGGAGGGTATGTGTTCTCTGGGTTTTCCCCACTTTCACTTTTTCTCTTTTCCCCCCTGCTCTGATCTTCACTGAGTTGTTCATCAGTCAGGGCAGAGTCTTCTTGCACAAACGTAGCGTGTTTGGTGTGTGTGTGTGTGTGTGAGAGAGAGAGAGAGAGAGAGAGAGATGAGAGTTAGATAGTTCTTGGACCGCTGGAACGATTAATCAGTGGAACAACTTGCCCCCAGAAATTGTGAATGCTCCAACAGTTTTTAAAGAAAAGATTGAGCAGCCGTTTGTCTGAAATGGTATAGGGTTTCCTGTCTGAGCAGGGGGTCAGACTAGAAGACCTCAAAGGCCCCTTCCAGCTCTGTCTTTTTTAAAAGCAGCTCATGAGGTCAGAACTAGTTCTAGTACTCCAGCCAGCTGATACAGAAACTCCCATTTCCAAGTGATCCCTTTAGCTTTTTTTAGGGTCATTCAAACTATCTTGGGGAATTGTCCCCTTCCAGGTTTACAAACAGGACTGTTAAAATGCCACCAATAAATTTGAGCTTGCTTGTTTTCTTGCAGATGTTTCATTACCCAAAGTAGTGTAAGGTTTTTCAAGTGCAGCTCTTTGATAGATAAGATAGATAGATAAGATAGATAGATAAGATAGATAGATAGATAGAATTTTAAACAGATATAATTCTTTTATCGGCCAAGTGTGATTGGCCACACAAGGAATTTATCTTGGTGCAAATGCTCTCAGTGTACATAAAAGAAAAGATACATTCATCAAGAGTCGAGAATCATAAGGTATGACACTTAATGATAGTCATAGCTTACAATAAGCAATCAAATCATACTAGGAAACAGTCAATATGAATAGTAAGGATACAAGCAACAAAGTTACAGTCATACAGTCACAAGTGGGAGGGGATGGGTGATGTGATGAGAAGATTAACAGTACTAGTTGTTGAGGTAATTCCCCGTTAGGAGAATGAGCGCATATAGGGAGACGTATTTGAGAGAAGTGTTTGAATAATACACACACAGTACACAGATACACCGTACAGTAAATGTAGGTTTTTACTTCAAGAAAGGTTTAAGCAAAGTCCAAAATAAGCAGTCCAAAGTCATTCACAGGTAAAATCAGTCACTTTTCAATCCAGGGATAATCCAAATATTAAAGTCCAGTGTCAAAAAACAGTTCAGTAACAGACTTACATTAAATCCAGTAATAGCAGTCAATTAGAAGAAAATGGAGGAACGGCAATATTTTCCAATATTAGGAAACAAAGATACTCAGACACACTCTCTTCTGAGACTAAGACTAAACAACCCAGGTTTCTGGCTCCATGTTATGGCTATTTGAGAAACCACACCCAATTGCATGGTCTTACATTCCCTTAAAGATATAGTACTAAAATGTTTATCCTGGTTTATATATTTTTAACCCAAATACCTGTTAGGTGACTTATATTCCTAACAGTAGTGCAGACTTAGTAAATAGTTGGACAGTGTTGAGGGAATTATTTGTTTAGCAGAGTGATGGTGTTCGGGAAAAAACTCCTTGCGTCTAGTTGTTCTGGTGTGCAGTGCTCTATAGCGTCATTTTGAGGGTAGGAGTTGAAACAGTTTATTTCTGGGATGTGAGGGGTCTGTAAATATTTTCACAGCCCTCTTTTTGACTCGTGCAGTATACAGGTCCTCGATTGAAGGCAGGTTGATAGTACTTGTTTTTTCTGCAGTCCTAATGACTCTCTGAAGTCTGTGTCTGTCTTGTTGGGTTGCAGAACCAAACCAGATAGTTATAGAGGTCCAGATGACAGAATCAATCATTCCTCTGTAGAACTGGATCAGCAGCTCCTTGGGCAGTTTGAGCTTTCTGAGTTGGCGCAGGAAGAACATTCTTTGTTATGCTTTTTTGATGACGTTTTTGATGTTAGGTGTCCATTTTAGGTCTTGTGACATGATAAGTCCAATGAAACTCTGAACACGCCACTGATAATCAGTTTTATTTCTCTGATCAGAAAATAAAAACTGGGCGACCTTTTAGTCTCCCACCTTAAAAAGCAAGGCAGAGAGAAAGAGAAGCAGGCGCATGTGCAAAAACTTTTTCTTGAACTTTTATAGCTTACACCAGGAGTCACCAACCTTTTGGACCCAAGGGACCACCAAACTCATAATTTTAAATCCCATGGACCAGAGACCCTGGGAAAATCCCCCAAAAAAGTCTTCAGGAAAATTCCCCAATCTGTTTTCTTACCAATCGATCGTTCTTTATTTGGGACCACAGGATACCGTCTCCAGCTCTGCTCGCAGGGAGAGAGAGAGACCTTTGGCATCATGCAAGGAAAGCACCATAAGCAGCAGAAGTCTTTCGTTCTCTCCCCCACGCTTTGCCAGAAATGAGTCTTTGTGAGACTTGTCATGCCGGCGCAGCCTCTTGGAGCAGGATGTCTTGCAGGGTCCCTCATTTCTGGCGGAGTTTGGGGGAGAGAAAGAAAGACTTTTGCTGCTTTCCTTGTGTGCAGCCAAAAGCAGCAGAAGAAAGAAGCAAAAAGAAGCAGCCCAGTGGCCTAGCCAGGCATGTGGGGTGAGTGGGGCAAGTTCCCCACCTCTGCCCTTTCCCTCCTCCCCTCACTATCTCATGTTGTTCACAATGCAAGCGATGCAAGCCTTGTGTTCCCACAGGCCATGTGGGCGGCGCAGCCTTGTGTTCCTGCGCAGCCTGGATTAATTGGCTTGGGGGTGACATTTCTCTGTGGACTACCAGTGATCCCCAGCCCACTGGTTGGTAACCACTGGCTTACACAGCTTGCAAAGACCCGTCATTGCTATGGAAACATTATTTCATATCATGCAAAGCTCATGAAATTTTCTCAGTGCTTTTGCAAACAAACTTTACTTAGAAAGAAATACATTTTAGCCCAAAGCTTCGTTTCTCACATTCTAAGTTGCTGGGAAGAACACATTCTAAGTTAGTTGCAGCAAGCAGATTGATGCATTTTTGCGTTTCTCAAGCAGTTACATTGCTAGGCTAAGGTTGGCAGTTCACCTAGAAGTTTTTATCTCTGCAGTTGGTTCAGCTGCTAGCTCAGCACAAGTTACAATGGAGATCAGCCCAGCCTAGCAAGGGAATCAAAGATTGAGCCAGGCACACACTGTATATGCTCTAATCCTTTCAGTAGGTAACATCATCAGTGCAAGCAGTAGCACTGATGATGTTACCTACTTTGGGTAGTAAAACTAAGTAGTGAAACATCTGCAAGAAAACAAGCAAGTTCAGGTATCACCAAGGATCTCTCATTTCAACCCTGAGCTACAAATATTCTCTGTCAACCTGCAAAACAACTTCAACTGAAATGATGTTTCATTTCTTGGTTGCCATTCAAGGGGGAGGGGACACTTAGGAATGTGGTGCCTCAGTTGGCTAGTGTTCTGACCTAGGCGTCCCAAAAGCACGAAGCCGACTCCTCATCCTGATAAAAGCCCATTTTATTTAGGTTAAAGGGAATTCCTCTCCAGCAAAGTCCCGGCCAACAGTCTTTCAAGAGATTTCACAACTACAGACCTTTATCAGGCTTGGAGAGCTGCCAGGCCGATATCTTCCAAACACCACTCTGTAGAAGACAATACTTGGCAAGAAGTCAGGAACAGATCTTCACCCTAATGAATTGAACTCATTGTCTCCTGCAAACACCTTTCACTCCTCTTTATTCCCTAAGGGAGAGGCCATTCACCATCCACCTGTGGCTTTACTCCTGAGTCAACTTTTGTTCCTTAGCTTTTCCCTTCTCCTGGCAGCTCTGCACATGAGTACACTGGGAACAGGCTCCAGCTGTTCTTCTGCCTCACTGATGTCTGACTCCAAAAGAAGCTGATAACTGCCAGACGGCCTGGCCCCATCTCTGCCTCCGATGCAGAGCACTCATCAGAGCCTACCCCATACTCCAAGACTGGCCCATGTTCCTCCCCAACCTCCTCACTGTCCAAATCTGCTGCCAGCTCGGCTGGCCAGTAGTGAGCCACAACAGCTAGTCACAACCTAGTGTGTGAACCAAGATCATGTCATTGGATACCTGTCAGAGCCAAGTGGGAACCTGTGACTGAACTGATTGGCCCATGTGACCTAAGAGACCTGGAGGGTGAGGAGGGAAATCCTATTCTTTTAACTATTCCCATGTGGGAATAATTTAGAGCTAGTTTCATCTTTCTAAGTGCCGATATGATGTACTCAATAAAGGGATACTTGAACCTGAGCCACTTTGGTACACAAATTACTTCTCTCTGGAAACAAATACTGTGGGGGTAAGACACCCCTAACATCCCTTGGGGTGTGTGTTCTATTAAGATATAACCTTTTGTGCCTTAAAATGGCTTCTACTGTACAGCACTGTGGAGTTGCCATAGTAACAGCTTCACAGTACTTCACAAGGGGGCTCTCTCTGGTAAGGGGGAAAATCCAACATTAGAAATTACATTTGTATCAGGGCTTTTCCTATCTAATACAGGATTAGGATAAATAAATACCAAGGCAATGCCGTGTTATCGGCTTTGGTACCATAAATCAAAAGAGGGTTACTGATGATAGTGAGGTTCAGAGATGGTCCCGAGTTGTAGATCTCCTAATTCTGACCCTTTACCACAACCCTTTCCAGGCTCTTCCAAACATTCCCTGTCTTATTCCTACCTTCAAGTGTCAGGGCCCAGCCAGGAGCTCCCCCAGTTTCTCTCCATGGTCCACTTGGATGACCAGCCCATCGCTCGCTATGACAACCACACCAGGATGTTCGAGCCTCTGGTGCCCTGGATGGAGATGGCGAAGATGAAAAGCTATCTGGACCCTGACTGGGTATTCAGGGCTGACCTGAAAAGTCCACAAAATGGCCACCCCCAAAATGAAGGTGAGCAGGCAGATTCTTCCCTTCAGCCATGAATTCACTCTCAATTACTCACCTTCCACATCCTGTTGTTTCAACTATCAAGCAAAGAAACAACTTGCCACAGATTGTGGAATGGAAGCAGAATGACACCTACCCACCCACCCACCCCAAAAAACACACACACACACACTCCACAAAGACAGGACAAAGCAGCTATGAAACCACCCACACATGCATTGCAGGAATCATATCCAAGTGCCAGGAATTCTTTTGTCTTTTTTGGTCTCCAAGGATGTAGAGATAGCGATGTCATATTTTTCTTGGGGGAGGGGAGATAGATAAAGGGAAAAACCCATTCACACACACACACACACACACACTTTCTATTTGTGAAATAGTTTTGTAGCTGTTGACAGTCAAATTTGTGCCTTCATCTAAAAAGAGATTGAAACTCCTGATGAGGGGGTGAGAAGGGAATGCGTGGGGGGAGGAATCTCCACCCTTTCCAACCTCACTGAGTTTCTACTTCAGGGCTTCACACCTGGCAGGCGATTTTGGGCTGTGAACTCAGGGAAGATGGGAGCAAAGGAGGATATTTCCACTATGGCTACGATGGGATGGACTTCATCAGCTTCGACGGTGAGACCTTCAGATGGGTGACAGCTCAGCCCCAGGCCCAGAAGGTCAAGGAGGAGTGGGAGGATCATCCAGGATGGTTCCAGGAAAATAAACACTTCCTGGAGGAGACTTGCCCTGTGTTGCTGACGAAATACCTGTCCTTTGGGAAGGAAGCTCTAGAGAGGACAGGTGAGTCCATTGGAGAAGAAACCTTGTGTCAGGGTTCCGACGGATGCCCTAATTAATTCATGAGCCTCGAGCCAAGTTTCCAAAGAAATCCAATTATTTATTAGGAGCAACATGTCAGCACGTTTCCCAAGTGCAGTCATCTCTGCCCAATATAATGTACCGTTCACCTACTAACCTGTTTCCCCGCTCCTCTCAGGGTGTGTCATAAATCATATTCTCCAACAAAGCACTTTCAGGGGGCTGTGGAAAACACACCTCTCCAGCTGGGCTTGATAACTTGAGACACAATCTGGAGAAAGGTATGCATGGATCTGGTCATAGCAATGAACTGCTCCATCAGATCTCTTCCCCGCTCCTCCTTATGGCCACTCAAGAGCAAGCCAGGAATGCTTTATGAGTTGAACCCTTGGGGATCTCTCTAGGCTGGACATTTGAGGATGCAGGTGGGAAGGGAGGCCCTATTTTGGAAAAAAGCTAACCTTGTGTTGCCCCTGGCTTCCCAGGGGGCTCTAGCATGTCTAAATTTTGAAGCCTACTAGATGTTCAGGAGAGAAGCAGAGAGAGTGTGAGACAGGCCGAGTCACAGGAGGACATTCCTGCTCTGAACTCATTTTGTTTCTTGGTTTTTTCAGAGCCCCCAGTGGGGAAGGTGAATTCAAAGGTGGTGGATGACAGCCTGGAGGTCCTCACCTGCCAGGCCTTTGGCTTTTACCCCAAGGAGATCCAGACCACCTGGACCAGGGATGGAGAGGCCTGTGTCTACGAGACCCTCCGTAGGAATGTGGCCCCCAACTCAGATGGGACCTATTATGTCTGGCTCAGCATTGAGATTGACCCCAAGGAGAGGGACCATTACTGGTGCCATGTGATGCATGACGACTTGCAGGAGCCCCTGCTCTTGGGCTGGAAGGAGAAGCCAGGTGAGAAACTGCAACATCCGGGTAGGTAGAAAGGAATTAGCACCCATGTTGGAAAGAATGAGGGGAAAAAAGGTCTCTGCTAAACCATCTCAAATCTTGAGATGCAGAGTATGAAACATCCCCATAGAGCAGGGGTGGGCAAACTACGGCCCGCGGGCCACATCCGGCCCGTTGGTCTTTTTAATCCGGCCCGCCGAAGATTGGTACAGAATTAAGGTTTGATGTGAATGATTGAATGATTGCATTCATTTGATTTTGACTTGTAATGACAGGCATTTCGACACCAGGTGGCGGCCCGTCTGTCCAATTTTAAAAGTCAATGAGGCCCCCAAGCCAAAATGTTTGCCCGCCCCTGCCATAGAGCCTTCTGCTGAGATGATGCTAATGGTAGAGCCCTCACATCAGGGGTGGTATTCAGCAGGTTCTGACCAGTTCTGGAGTATCAGTAACAGAAATTTTGAGTAGTGCAAAGAACCGGCAAACACCACCTCTGACTGGTCCCATCCCCATCTATTCTCCGCCTCCCGAGTCCCAGCTGATCGGCTGGGTCTTCTTTGCTTGCCTTGCACAGGAGAACGGAGCTGGAAAGCAGGTTTTGCAGTAACTTTCCCCCAGGAATAGAGAGGGAATGGTGATTTTGCAGTATATCCTTCCCCTGGAGTGGGGTGGGAATGGAGATTTTACAGTATCCTTCCCCTGTCATGCCCACCAAGCCACGCCCACAGAACCAGTAGTAAAACTTTTTGGAATCCCACCACTGCCCCACATCCCAACCTTCCAGTAAGAGCCATATGGCTCTTGGCTTCCATGTGGCTAATGGCTTCCAGAAAGAAACATTATTAATACGAGTTGTAAGGGAAGCAAAAAGGGTGCAGCAGAAGCCAAAAAAGCCAATGCTTTTTAAAATTGCATTAACAGAGGGACTCAATCAAGATCATGTAGAATAGAATAGAATTCTTTATTGGCCAAGTGTGATTGGACACACAAGGAATTTGTCTTCGGTGCATAAGCTCTCAGTGTACATAAAAGGTATAAGTGATAAATCATGATCATAGGCATCATAAATACATTCCTCATGAATCATAAGATGCAACACTTAGTGATAGTCATAGGACACTAAATAAGCAATCATACTAGGAGACTAAATAAAAAAATATAAATTGTAAAAACAAAGGCAACAAGGTTATACTCATAAGTAGAAAAGGAGATAGGTAATAGGAAGGATGAGAATAATAATAATAATAATAATAATACGGTCTTAATAAATAGTTTTTTTAGTAAAACACTTTGACAGTGTTGTGGGAATTACCGGTAGTTGTTTAGCAGAGTGATGGTATGCGGGGAGAAACTGTCCTTGTGTCTAGTTGTTCTGGTGTGCAGTGCTCTGTAGCATCGGTTTGAGGGTAGAAGTTGAAACAATTTATGTCCAGGATGTGAGGGGCCTGTGGATATTTTCACAGCCCTCTTTTTGACTCGTGCAGTATACAAGTCCTCAATGGAAGGCAGGTTGGTAGCAATGTGAGGTACTAATTCTACTCTATAAAGCCTTAGTAAGGCGACACCAAGAGTACTGCATCCAGTTTTTGTCACCACACTATAAAAAATATGTAGAGACTCTAGAAAGAGAGCAGAGAAGAGCAACCAGGATGATTAGAGGACTGGAGGCTAAAACATATGAACTGGGCATGGCTAGTCTAGTGAAGAGAAGGACCAGGGGAGACATGATAGCAGTCTTCCAATATTTGAGAGGCTGTCATAGAGAGGAAGGGGTCAAGCTATTTTCTGAAGTGCCTGAAGGCCAGATAAGGAATAATGGATGGAAACTGAACAAGAGAGATTTAACCTGGAAATAAGGAGAAACTTTCTGACAGTAAGAACAATCAACCAATAGAACAGCTTTCCCTTGGAAGTTGTGGGAACTTCATCGTAAAGTAGACTAGACTAAGAATAGAATAGAATAGAATAGAATAGAATAGAATAGAATAGAATAGAATAGAATAGAATAGAATAGAAT